TATCCAGAAAAATAATCCAGTCAATCAACAAGTTTCCAAGGGCAAAGTCTAAGTACTGCCCTGGTTCTAGACACTGGCAGTGGCCATCATTTACCCATCGTTTCTTCTCCTACATTCCCTGAGAGCATCCAGAAAGTGCCCAGAGCCGGATGGCTAGAACTGTTCAAAGGTTGGACCAAGGGAGTACAAACCCTTTGTTCTAGGAATTATACCCACATCCCCACTCCTTTTGGGAATGCCTCTTCTCCCACTCTGTGTGTTTCCAATGGCAGCTGCCATTCCTACAAGATCCCATGCCTACATTCCACATGATGCCTACAGAGGTACATCAGACCCAAGCTGTACCAATCAAAGTTTTTCACCAGAATTTTTAAAACTGGAGTTGGGAAAGACAGCCAGTCCCTCTGTGGTGGAAAGCTCTGAGCTGTGAGGCCTAAGCTTTCAGCAGCCATATTTCCTGTGCTGTGGAGGTAGCCAGTCTGCAGTGAGAAAGAAGGAAGCTGACAGAGAAAAGCAGTGACAAGAGGCACAGAGGCCTGGTGATTTTCAAGTGTCTTGTTGCTGTTGTTCCTGAGGTCCAGCCATTGTCCCTGGCCTTCCTGCAGGTTGATGGTTCAACCTTTCCTTGGAGTTTGTGTACCTATAAAGGCCTCCCTTTGCTCAAACTTCTTCAAATTAGGCTTCTATTGGTGGAATACAAGCATCCTACCCAATTCTTTGTATGTCTTCTAAAAACTGGTTGCCACTGAATCAATTCCAACTCATGGCAACACCATGTGTGTCAGAGTAGAACTGTGCTCCATTGGGTCTTCAATGGCTGACTTTTGGGAAGTAGGTTACCAGGCCTTTCTTCCAAGGTGTCTCTGGGTGGACTCAAGCCTCCCACCTTTCAATTAACACCCAAACACGTCAACCACCCAGGGACTTCTGTTTTCTCACAGTGAGTTTAAATCCATCTCCTGATCACATGTCCCATTGCTGCTTGTTCTTCGTTCTCTTGAGGCACATTTATGAAAATTTCTTTAGTTGTCTACAAAGAAGCTCTTCAAGTCTTTGAAAATAGCTTATTCCAACCCTCTTGAAGTTTGGGGTATTTGCTTATCATGTGAACCTCCATCATGGGTCAGGCACTGTGCTAGCAGCAGGGGTCAAATGATTCCTGCCTTGAAGAAGCTTACCATCTAAAATAGAGTAATCCCTCACAGACAGCCAGACACTGTGGGAAAGAGCCAACAGATCTACCAACTCAGTACCGTAGTACTAGGGGACATCAGACTCAACTAGCACAACAAAATACATAAAAATCTTGTTCCTCATCCTACATTGGTGAGTAGTGACTGGGATCTTAAAAGCTTTCAAGTGGCCATCTAAGATGCAGCTAATGGTTTCCTGTCATCAGAAGTGAAGAAGAGTGCATAAAAACAAGGGCATTTAGAAGCAATCAGCCCTAGGACATGATGGACCTCAAGACCAGAAGAACTAGATGGTGTCCAGCTACCAATGCCAACCACTCGGGAAAGGATCAAAACTGGAGATCCTGAATAGAGTGGGAGGAAAAACGTGGAACAAAATCCAAAAACACAATAATGACCAGAATTACTGGTCAGATGGAGTCTGGTGAGACCCCCAATACTGTGGCTTTGGGATACATATTTTGGGGCTGGAATAAAACTCACTCCCAGGGGCTGGCTTTCAGCCCAATAGCAAACAAGATGTACACGCAGACCACTCAACCCAGGGTAACACACCCACATACTCTATGGAAATGAATCCCTTGGAGCAATTGACCATGGGGCACCAGAGGGGCAACATTCACATGGAGGAACTGCAGGACACACATGAGTGCATAACTATGAGGGGCATGGGGGGTGGTACTGGGCAGGGAGGGGAGGAGACTGGGTTAGGGTTGGGGATGGTAAATGGGGAGTGAAACTAAATGTACACAAAATGTTGAATGTAAAACAAACTCTGCTAAAAAAAATAATAAAATAAAATAGTGGGGACAGGCATATAACCAAAATACAATGCAGGATGAAACATACAATTATAAAATTTTATGTAGGGGAGCGTACAAGCATAAAGAAAAGATTGGTTAGTACTGCCTAGGGATTTGGTTAGGACAATTTTACAAGGAAGGAAGTAATGCCTGAGAAATATTTTAAAAATTAAATAGGTGCTCATCAAGTAGACTGGTGGGAGTAGGTGAAAAGGAATTATATGGCATAGAATATTCTGGATAGAGGGAACCAAACTCAGTGATGTTGAGTTTATTCCAATTTATAATGACCCCATGTGTTACAGAGTAGAACTGAGTTCCATAGGGTTTTCTTGGTTGTAATCTTTATGGAAGCAGATCTCCAGGCCTTCCTCCCATGGTGCCACCGGGTGGGTTCAAAGTGCCAACCTTTTGGGGAATAGTCAAGTGTAAACCACTTGTACCACCCAGATACCTGATGGAGGAAGAAGCAGTATGTCCAAAGACAGGGAGTATGGAGATATGAAACAGCCTGGTATGCATGGCACTTGAGAGTAAAAGAGACAGGCAAGTAAAGAGAAATGAGGATAAAGCAGTAGCCATTTCTCAATGGATATGGTCACCCTCCAGCTAATTGATTTCTATTGAAAATGCAGCCCCGCAGAAGATAGACCAGAGCAACCTAGAATGGAATTAACACCTCTCTGGGACTGGGCTCCACACATTTTTGTTGTTATGTGCCGTCGAGTCGGATCTGATTCATAGCAACCCCTCCTTGGGTTTCCGAGGCAGTATCACTATGGAAGTAGATTGCCCCATCTTCCTTCCAAGTCAAGTGCCTTAGGCACTATGCTACCAGAGCTCCCAGCCTCCACACATTAGCAAAAGCTTTTTTGGTAGCCAACGTGTTTCATTGAGTTCTGGTAGCATAGTGCCTAAGGCACTTGACTGCTAACCAGAAGGCTGGCGGTTCAAACCCACCAGCCACTCCTTGGAAGGAAGGTTGGGCAATCTACTTCCATAGTGATACTACCTCAGCAACCCAAGGAGGGGTCACTATGAGTCGGAGCTGACTCGATGGCAAATAACAACAACATGTTTCATCAGCTTGTGACTTTTCAACACGAACCACTGTTTGCCCAAGTCTTCCCTATCCTTGCTTGAAGAATTAAGTCTTTTTTATCTCAGATGCAGAAACATACCTTTGTTATTTTTTCAAATTAAATCTCATCTTCTTAGTCTCATATTTCCTTTCCTTTTTGTCTAGATCTTTTTGAATTCTGATCCTTTCATCCAACGTATAATCTGTCCCTCCCAGCTTCTTGCTCTCTGTATTAATAAGCAGACTTTCTCTTTCTTCAACTAAGTTAATGATGAAGAAGGCAGAGCTGAGTACAGAATGTCAAGACACTCAGGGATGGAAAGGTCAGTGAAGCACAGTCTCTTTCCTCTTCAAGCTTACAATCTACCATGCAAAGTGGTATTGCCTAAAAGCACTAGTCTAGGAGTCTGGAAACTCAAATTCTAATTCTGCTTTTCCAATGAGCAAGCTGTGTGACCTTGGGCAAATGGCTCACCATCTCTGATCTTTAGCTTTCAGCTTTGTAAAGGGGAATGGGGTGCTCTCTTTATGATCCTGAATGTCAAAGTTCTTCATTCAGCATGTATTTATTAAGTAACTACTACATGTCAGGCATCATGCCAGGTGCTGAGGGTACAGAAATGAATAGTCACAGTCTCTACCCTTGAAAAGCTGTCAAGCCTGAAGGAAAGATAGAAAATTAAAATAGAATTACCATAAATGCTCTGATAGAGTTTTGCACATGGTCCTAAAAGAGCACAGAGATGCACATGCTCCAGTTCTGCATTTGGAAATAACCATGATACAGAGCAGTCAGTGTTTGCCATTAAATCCAAGTACTGATGAAGTACTATAGGAATTTGCTACGTATGCCAGTATCCCCTCTCCAGGTTGTTTTGACCTTTCTACAGCCCCAGAATAAACTGGGTGCTTTTGGTAGGAAAATCTTGTGCTACTGTTAATTAACATATTTAGCCCAGCATAAGCTTCTCTTTCCCTGTCAGAAGATAGACAAATCTTCTAGAACACTCTGAACCAACTGCACCCACCCCACTTACCAAGGTCTATTGGGTGCCATCAAATCAACTTTCAACTCACAGTGACCCCTTGTGATGGAGTAGAACTGCCCCATAGGGTTTTCTAGGCTGTAATCTTTACAGGAGCAGATCACCAAGTCTTTCTCCTTTGGAGTGACTGGTTGGGTTCAAACTGCCAAACTTTCAGTTAGTATTAACCATTAAGCCACCAAGGCTCCTTCACCAAGGCCCAGATGTGTTTGAGCATGGCGTGAATTTTTACTTAGTCCCATATCTTCTCCTTACTACCCAGTTCTTTCTTCTGTTAGCTACCATCAAGTTAGCTCCTGACTCATGGTGATTCCACGTAAATCAGATTGGACCATTATAAGCCATAGGGTATTCATTGGCTGATTTTCAGAAGTAGATCACCAAGCCTTTCTTCCTAATCTGGAAACAACACTGAAATCTGTTCAGCATCACAGCAACACACAAACCTGCACTGACAGGAGGGTGGTGGCTATGTATGAGGTTCATTGGC